ATTATGTTTTTAATACCTATAACATAATAATTTAATAATTTAATTAATTTAATAAAAAATTAGTATAAAAAATTTAATAAAAATTGTGTTTTTTAATTTTTTTTTAATAAAAAAAAGATTAAAAAACATTTTTTCTGAAGGTTTGATACAAAACGTATCCGTAGGTTACACAAATTTCAATACATTATGCAAATTTCGGTACATTACGCCAATACGTTACATTACACTGATTCATAACATTACGCCGATTTTGTCTATTTTTATCTATTTATTTTAATTATTAATTAGAAAATAACTACATTTCACCGGAGGTAAATTCACCGGTAATCACATGATACTTATTAATGTAAAATCACTAATCTATCAGCTATTACCTGTATTACGCGATATAGTTTGTGCATCTTTTTATGATATCTTTCTTTATTACGAAGTTAATTAAACATACGGATAATAAATTCAATGAAATACATAGAAGCAACAAGCATGACAACTGAAAGAACTCATATAATAAGTGACAAAATTACTGAGGAGAGTACTTACATAGTTATAAATGACGAAGCCACTGACAATTCAAAAAGCGAAGTTAACTTGGAAAGACAGTTGAGATCCGAAAGAACTTATATAAAAATAAGTGACGAAACCACTAACAATTCAAGTTGTAAAGTCAACTTGGAAGAACAGCTAATGGAATTCGAAAGTGCTTATATAATAATAAATGATGAAGCCACTGATAAACCAAAAAGTGAAATTAACTTGGAAGAACAGTTGTTAGATCAAGATCAAGATCATAACAATATTTTAGTGTTTGATACAGACTCTTCTGACGAAGAATCTGATAGCACTTTTTCCGCTCTAACTTTGTTTTTGGGTCAGACGTTTCTTACCTGGGATGATGCTCAAAAATTTTTAGATAGCTATGGGTTGGAGAAAGGTTTTAGCATACGAAGAAAACGAACTGAGTTTGATAGTAACAAAGTTTTAATTAGAGTTGGCTGGGAGTGTAGTTGCGCAGGTAAGTATAAAGCAAAAAAAGTCTTGAATCCAGACAATCAAAGAAATCGAACATCAAGGGCAACAGATTGTAAGTGGAGGGTTAATGGAAACCTTTCAAAAGACACATCAATAATTTCTTTTACAACTGTTGTGGATGAGCATAATCATTTGATGACACCTTCACCCCAAACTAACATCGCTAAGTATCGTAAATTTGGTGATGATATAGTCGAATTTGTTGAATTTTGCATATATCATGGTGTAACAGGTGCACAAAGTATTGGGCGGCTCTTGAAAGGAAAATTTCCTGGGAGAAATATTTATCAGAAGAGCCTTTACAATGTAATTCAAATAGCTAAAAAAAAATTAACATCAAGAGTTGAATATGATGCATCAGATCTTATGAGGCACCTGTACTCGCAACGCGCAGAAGATTCACGTTGGTTTATAGAAGCAAAATTTGATGGAGTTGAGCGTCGATTATGTGGGTTAGTATGGATGTCACCCGAACAACAATTTTTGTGGACACGTTATCATGATATTGTTTTTTTTGACACTACATCCCGTACCAACAAGTATAATATGATGGCCTGTTTCTTTGCTATAATTGACAATTGTAATAGAACACGACTTGTTGCAAGTGCTTTACTTGAAGATGAAACAGAGAATAGTTTTATCTGGGCACTGAAAATGATTAACAAATGTACAGAGAATTTAACACCAACCGTTGTGTTTACTGATTCCGATCCGGGAATGGCTAATACAATAAGCCTAGAATTTCCGAATTCTATTCATTGTTATATATATTCCACATTGATCTCAATATAAAAAAAAATCTTCGGAATAAGCTAGGTTCAATGGAATTTAAGGAGTTTCATGAAGCATTTTTTAGATGTAGAAATACATTAGTTCCAAGTGTTTTTGAAAGTCGTTGGGAAAGCTTAAAAGAGAAGTACAAATCAGCAAACAGTTATATAAAGCGACAACTGGATCTGTTTAAGCACAAATGGGCTGTGTGTTATACGAATAATCAATTTACAGCTGGCGCAAACAGTACTCAGAGAGTTGAGAGCTTAAATCATAAAATTCATAGCTGTATTAAATCAAATTTGTCACTTTTAATATTAGTAAAAGAAATTCAATTATTACTTGATAAGGAGTCGGAGTATGCAAGAGTAGAGGAGTATAAGGAACAAATTCCTACTACAGGTCTCTCAACAATTACAAAAACTTATTTTAATTCTATTGAAGGGGTTATTTCAAAGTATCCTATGCCGTCAATGGTATTTGTTGCTTGTAATCAGATGCAAGAATGTTTTTATTACGACTGTTTCAAAATAGATATCACGACTATAAATCAGGTTAAGTATTAATTTCTTATTGGGGTTTTCACCTATGCAGAGTTAAAATATTTTATCTTTTCCAATAGGATCAAAGTAATATTGATTATGATGAGGGTCTACGGGAAGACAACTATGAAGTTGCAAAAATACATCTTACCGAAATTATATTAACAATCGGTCAAAATCAAATTCTAGAAATATGGAGAATTGTAATATCCTGCGGTACCAAAATGAATTATGTTGTGTTATTAGCAGATGGGTCCCACCGATGTACATGTAACCTTATTATAACTCATGGATATCCGTGTCGACACTTCTATAAGATTTTACGTAGCTCTGCTCAGGCCAAATGGCATATAGGACTTATTGCAATGCGTTGGTATAAAGATGAGTTCTTTAGAGACAGTAGTGACATTTGGCAACAGTCTTTTATTACTTTATGCAAAGATTCAGACCATAATCAAAGTGACTATGAACGTTCAATATACAAATTTGATTATATCAAACAAATAAGAGGTGCTGAAGTTTATGGCCCGGTATTACGAGAGGTCAATAATACACAACAAAAATATGGTAGAGCACATGGAATAATGCGAAAAGCTCTTGATCTCGCAATTTCTACCAATACATATGATGAGTTAATGGGTATCTGTCATGGATTTATACTTGACAAACAAAGAAATCAAGAATCGGATGAAAAAATGGAAGATATTGAAAATAACATTATGAATCCTGTAATTACTGCACGAAGAGGGAGACCACCAGGAAGAGCAAAAAGTGATGTGGAAGTGCAAGATCAACGTACTACAAAAAGACAACGTTTACAACCAATAGAAGTTAATCAATCCAATGATGAAACTAAGGATAAAAGAAAGACATGCCAAAATTGTGGAAATAGGGGCCATAATAGAGCAACATGCAGAATCAATAAGGAATAATTAGGATTTAGAAGTAGATTATTAGTCATTATAATCATGTATTGTACATCTTAGCTGCATTCTCAATTGAAAAAATGCTATTTGCCCTAGTGTTGTTACTGTGAAATTTTCATCAATCAATTTCGTACAGACTATATTCTTAGGATTGTACGAATTTGGTACCAAAGTCTGTATATACGTACATATATCTAGAAACTTGTCATCAGAATTCGGAATTCATGGGTTTGGTAAGTATTATCGTTATCATTGTATTGTTGTTTTAAGTGATATTAATGGTATTGGTATAATGACTAAACAGATTAGTGTGAAATTCATAACAGATAATATTTTCAAGGATATATGGATCGCTACTAATAAAAAGAATTTTGCAAATTAGTATGGTATGGGTGAGCAGACCAGTATAGTACAGGCCGATTTTTGAAATCTGTACTATACTGATCCGGTACGTAGTATATAGTGTTAGGAATTATAAATGATGAGTATGGTCTGCTCATCTATACCATACTGGTTCGTTATAATCTCATATTTATTGACTACTTAAAGGAATACGAATGTAATAACAATTGTAATGAATGATAATAAAGAATGAATTGAACTTTTAAAAGTTCAGGTTAACTGTATTTTTATTTGAATTGATCTTGTGGCATTAAATTCATAGGTATACGTATTAATTTTTGTTAGATTACTTAATGTGTCTAGCAAAGCGTGTTTGAAATCACAGTATATAAATTTAGTATTGTCGTTCTAACAAATTTTGCATATTATAGAATTAGATTAGAGTTAGGGTTTTGCCACCAATACAAGACTAGCAACACCAGTCAAAAAAATTTCGCAGATCATATGATCTTATAAAATGTAAAATATCTATCGCCAGATTAAATTAAAGTCCTTGTTTAGGTTTAGGGTTAGGGTCAGGGTAAACAAATATTTTTTTTCTTTAGCTTTAGTAAAGAAAATGCTGCAGCGGAGGCGGCAGCCGTAGCAAAAGCATCAACTATCCTTTGCGAAGCAAAGAATAACAGAAAGTTCATTCTCGAATAGAAGTTTTTTTTTATTAAACTTTTAAGCTAATATAATATCTTCATTTCACGTAATCTGTGAAATAATATAGGTATTATCGGTTTATGTCTATGTTACACAAAATTGGCGATCATCTATTAGCTACATATGTGACGTCACGTGATTGCCGGTAATTTCACCTCCGGTGAAAATTAGCATTACTCTATTAATTAATAATTAATTAATTAATTAATTATTAATTTTTTTCGAAACGTATGTACTACGTACGTGGTCACATGACCCCGATTTTGGGTCACCGAGCATTTTCGTGGGAATTCGAATTCCCATATGTCACGTGACTTCGTTGTTCGATCGGAGTTTCAAACTTCTTTTCGGCGGAGTTTGAAACTTCTTCAATTTCGCGGGAATGCGAAATCCGAAGTCACGTGACTTCGTCGGAGTTTCAATTTTCTCTCCTTTGCTTCTTTGTTGCTTTGCTCTCTTTTACTTCGCTCTTATGTTTTTCTTTCCTTCCCAATCTCACCTTCCCCACCTCTCTTTTTTCTCTCTCTCCATCCCACCCCACTCCCTCACTCCCAATCCCCCACCCACTCTTCCACTCCCTCTCACCTTTCTTCTTTGTCCCCTTTCTTTCTTTTTTTTAAAATTTTTTTTTTTTTTTTTTTTTGCCCTAACTATTTGGTAAGTCTCCATCACTAATTTAATAATTTAATTTACTGACGTTTTTGCCTGCTTTGCAGGCAAAAAAGACAAAAAACGTCAGCAAAATAAATTAGTGACAGACAACTGCCAAATAGTAGAGGGTGGACTAGCTCTTATGACCCGGTCCTTGACTGGGTTTGAGTTTCTAATTTTTTGCTAATTCTTAGGCCTTAACATTATTAATTCTTAGACCTTAACATTATTAAATCTTAGAACCCGGTCATTGCTTGGGTTTGAGGTTCTAATATTTTGCTAATTCTTAGATCTAAATTATATTAGCTTT